TTCTTCTGTCAGCCCAGACTCTTGCGCGTCCTCTTCTGCTGGCTTGTAGCCCCTACGAGAAGCTCAGAGAGCGAGAAAAGAGACTCAGCAGGGGACGAGCCGAAACAGCGGCAGGAGAGAAGAAAGAAGTTGAGGTCAAGGAAGAGGAGGTGGAGGAGGCAAAGGAAGAGGAAGAGGAGGTGGAGGAGGAGGAGGAGGAGGAGGAGGAAGAGGAAGAGGAAGAGGAGGTCGACGACGACGAGGTCGACGAGGAGGAGACCTGGAAGGTGTCTCAGGCTCGTTCTTCTTCTTCCTCCTCCTCTCCTTCTGCCCAGTCCTGTGACATCACGGCATCACATGCGCCGATGAGGGACCGACAGACCTCAGCATCTCCTCCTCCTCCTCCTCCCGTATGGGGGTCGTCGACTCCTTTCGCCGCCTTCCTGATGACCTTCGAGTCATCGAAACCTCCTTCCTCTCGCTCCTCCCTCTCGCTCCTCCCGTCGTTCTTTCCGCACCTTCTCCTGTCGCTCTCCCGCTCGATCCTCCCACTCCTGCGTCTCCCAGCATCCTCTTCGGCCGGCTTCCAGCAGGAGCTGAGCTGGGGGTGGCGCGAGAGGGAGTGATCGCCTCCTCCACGAGCTTCTGCGTTGACAGCAGGCGGCGCGAGAGCTCTCCAATGGCTTCCGACAGCTCAGCGACCTGATCGCCCCCACCAGGACGCCAGGAGGAGCGAGGGATGGAGGGGGTGAGGAGGGAGCGACGGCCAGTAGCTCTCTTCCAAGTCTTCACAAGCGACTCCAGCAGCCCTACCACCTCCCCCGGCTCCAGCCCCTTGTCCCTCCTCGACTTCCCCACCCCGTACGCCGCGTCGTCCAGCACTCGCGCCACCAGGTCCCACGACAGGGCCAGCGGCTCCCCAGCAGCGTTGAACAGCCAGTCCGACCCCTCGGAGTCCACCTGGGCGCCAGCAGGGCTGAAGCTGGGAGGAAGAGCTCGCTTCTGCTGGAGGATCCTCTGCTCGAGAGCCTCGACCTCCGCCTCTGCGAGCTCCGCGCGCTTCTGCCATGTCGCAATCTTGTCGGGCCAGTCCTGGTTGCGAAGGGCCGCGAGGACCTCGTGGGAGTAGGAGGGAGAAGCCTCGTAGTCTCTCAGTCTCAGCTCTAGCCCCGCCATCTCCCTCATCGCGCTCGCCTCCCACTCCTTGAAGGACGCCTCCGCTGCCTCCGTCCTCTCCTTCCACCTCGCGTGCTCCCTCCGATGCTGCTGCTCTAGCTCGCTCTGCTGCCGCAGCAGCTCTTGCACCTGCATCCTCAGCGCGTCCTCCCTCCCCCGCACGTCCTGCTCCCGAATCCCATCCTTCATGGCGAGGAGATGGAGCTGCTCCTCCAAATCGTGATTCCTCTCCACAAGCTCAGCCTGCAGGCAAGACCAGGGTAAGTAAGGAGGAGGAGGAGGAGGAGGAGGAGGAGGAGGAGGAGGAGGAGGAGGAGGAGGAGGAGGAGGGAGGGGAAGGTA